CCGTCGCTCAAAAATCCAATTTTGTGTTTTGAATGAAAAATGAGTCGAAAAATATTGCCCAATCAGGGCGCGAGTTAATTGCGTCACGCTTTTGGATATATTTGTAATTTTGGCATAGTTAAGTCGAGTCAGAAAGGTAGGCGCGGTCGGAAAGATGGGAGGAAACTCTATTGGAAAGGCCGGGTGTAGCCATGCGAAAAGGCAGGAAAACGCAGCAAGAAAGGAACCGGACGGACTTATTGACAGACGGACGGACACGATACAAGTTTAGGGGGCGGGAAATGTAAACTGAGTATATTTATAGGTAGATAAAACTTGGGCTTAATACAAACTATAAGTCACCTATAGAAATGCAATGTCATCAACCAATGGTTGGCTTTGGAAGCTAAATATCCGAAGTATGACGTGTCACACTTCATGGGTACACTTAGGGCTACGTACCCCGTTACAAAAAGCCTCCAACAATGCCATGACAAATAAGATTATAGAGGTTTTGGATACAACTTAATGCACCTTTTGGATAGACCAATATGATTACAGGGTATCTGAAAAAATGAAGTTTTTCGCCGCGGCGCTGAATCCTTCTTTGGCGTTCTTGTCTCCAGAGACGAGGGCGAGGTTACCGGCAACAAAGCACCGCCACATGTCGGCGGCGTCCTATCACGCCTTCAGTGCTGAGCAGAAACCGCGGTTCATATCCTCGTCAGACGTCCATTGCTTGTCTATCACTGACAAGCGAGCTGGTGACTCTACTGCTCTCAGCGTGCCTCCCTGAAGCGAGGGAGTGTGACCTTCGCGGACTCATTTACTGTGTCGTACGTTTTCTTTCTCTGTTGTCACCTGGAAATCGAAGCCCATCTCTGCGCTGTTCATGTCGTCACTGGCTGCTTGAATCCATCGACTTCGCAAAGTGTTATGCGCTCAGTACGCATTGGGCTTAAGAGAAGCTGATCCTATACACTGTAGCAATACATGTGAAATTAGTAAGTGTGTAAAAATATTAATCTTCGTCAATTGGAACGGTATTGTGCAAGAAAAATCATGACACGCAACGGGTGCTCTCATGGTGCTAAACGTTTCAGCCTGAAACAGAAGAAAATAGTGGTGCTTGGCCACTTACACCCAGACATCTGGTCGTAGACGAAGAGGTGGGCTGCTTTACAAAAAGATAAATAGCAATTAATCAATTTAAATTCAGATGGACTGCAACTCTAGTATTGTCAACAGCGCTATTAATTACTGCTTGCTGTTGTGTAGCTACCAAGCTGTGGTTACAAGTATTCCCGCTCGACCAACTGAAGAGTACCTTCTCATAAAGAATTGGTCTAAAAAGACTTGAAAATATAATGGCTCTTTTTGTCATACAGTACAGGTAAAGGCCGTGCGCTATTTTTATACCGCCACCTTTATTTGATACTACAGTACGGTATTAAAATACAGTAGTATGATCGTTCAGCAAAATTATGAAAAAAATGGAGCTACAGCACTGCCAGTTGCTGGTATTTCCTGCTATAAGTAACTAATCTCGGTGTTTTTACCTCCGTGGAATAGAAAACCTCGAGTCATCGATTGGATATGATGGTTTTATAAGGCCGTTCATATCATATTTGTGTGCGCTTAAAATTAATGAGCACACCAAACAGTCGGCCCGAATACATCATTATTGGGCTGTCCGTAGTACGTGACCGTAGCACTGCCAGGGAATTTTAGTTTATATATGCAAATCGCAAGCTGTGCGATGTGTCGTTAGGAAAGGGTGTGCTCATAGAAGGAAACGAGGTACCGGTACCTATCATCTCAAGGGCCAGATATTTTAACAGGAGGTTGCCTACCCGGTATGCGTATAATTTGCATCCACCTCGGCTAATTGGAGTTGGTCTGGCTTTTCGTCCATTTAAATCTCATGGCTACAAAACTGGCTGTTCACTTGTAGCTCTAGTTTACGTGTATATGTGTGTCTTCTTTTAATTATTTGCATTATAATTTTAGCTGCCAATATTTTATTTAGCTTAAGCGATTCATTTTCGAATTTGTTTTTATATTGCTGCTGCGGATTCTCATAATAATAAATTATCAGGTTTTCATTGAAATCCTTCCAGTAAACTTCAGAGTATAGATAAGTATATACTATCAGATTGCCATAATCGACGATATATACTATCAGATTGCCATAATCGACGAGGCAGCCGTGTTTCTAAAATTGGGACGATTTCAGCACCACTGATTCCGATCGAGAAGCGTGCCGATGCGGCAAAGGCCCGCATTTTCCGCAGTACAGCCTTCGTGACTATAATGTTCGAGGCCTTCAGCAAAAATACTATCATCGTGACTGGGTCCAAAAATGTTTGTTTAAAGATTCTTTGATGTAATATAACATTCTAGAGAGCTATCAAGGTTACTCAGCCAATTATCGACATAAACGTTGACTAGTATAAAACTTACAATAGATAAGTAACCGTGACCAAATAAGCCATTATGTTTCCAAGTCTTTCAACACCAATTTTTTGTGAGAAGCAGTTGGTCGGACGGAAATTTTTGAAACCACCGCCAAAATGATTACAGGGTATCGTTGAAAAGCAGAAAAGGGTCCAGAAAATGCACTCGGCGCTGAAGCCTTCTTTTGTGTTCTTGTCTCCAGCGTCGATTGTATCGGTGCTTTTGTGGCCGGCGGTGTTTCTCTGACCTCACACCTCGTCTATGGAGATTTCGAAAGCTTTCTACCACGCTTCACAAACTACAGTTCATTTTCTTCTCGTCGGACGTTCATTACTTGAGCTAACCCAAACAAGCGGGCTTGTGGCCACACTCCAGTCCGTCCTGAGCGGTGCCTCCACTGAAGCGACAGAGTTTGATCCTCACGAGTTCATGCACTGTGTTTTACGCTTTCTCGCTGTTGTCACCTGGAAAATGAATCCATTCTCTGAGCGGCTCATATCGTCCATGGCCCCTTGATTAGCTGTTTAAATCCATATGCGGGGCTTAAGAAACTGACTTTTCGGTTGGTTTGTCTAGTGTCCTGCCCCTGACTAGAGCCGGGGGCAGCGAAGGAGATAATAGACACTTATATTGCAGTTACGTTTGGCGGTCAGCATCAATGTGCCGGCACCCTTGTCAATATCCAGCTTGGTTGAGTTTGGGGCCCAAATTGGGCTTGCACACTATCCACTGCAGGAGCCATCCAGCGAGAACAGCCAACCTCGAAAAGTTCGAGAGCACCTTCAGTGCACAAAAATCATCACAAAAACATGATCTGGAGAGCGCAACAGTTTGGTTCGCAGGCTAATTCCCTGCAACCTTCTAAAGAAGAGTGACTTAGCCACTCAATAGATATTTTGTGGCGTGTTTGATCGAATCCTCGTAATTTTCAAAAATAAAATTTGAGTCGAGCACACAATATCTTCATAACGGTGTGCCAGTGTCAAAGGTTCAAAGTAAACACGAAATGCATTTAAATATCGTAGCTACTTTATACCTTTGACAGGACGTCGCTACATACGGACTTGTACAGAAATACATGCCGCCCGTATCCACCACTCAGCCTAAGTATGACCTTTGTGGCGAGATTAATTGTGAAATACTAGCCCCGTCAACATGCTGGAGTACTCTTACAACGCAGTAACAAACAGGTAACAAACAGATAGATATCTCAACAATCATTGTTACAATGGTATACAGAATATTCAACAAAATTTTCCGGTGGGAGCCAGTAAAGAACATGTGTTGTTTACGGGCAAGCTTCCACAATCGTCTCGTATGCTACTATAATAGCCGGCTACCAAAGTCAGTCTGACGCTATTTACAACATTGACTCATACCTTGATCGGGATCATTTGTTCACAAAAAGGATGCAACGCGATTTCCGAAGGGGACGGAGACCATTCATACAAGATCATTATTAATGATGTAATTCCTAGTATGTCGTTTAGCCAAAGAGGGCGAACTAGCTCACGATATAAAAAGATGTTTCATTCACGGAAGTCTCCTCCGTTCTGGTCTACTGTACTCACCATCTCTCATATTCGTGCTATAACTTCTAGTATGGAGGTGTCTATCCCCTGTAGGGATTGATAGGATGCTGGTGGCGGATGTGTTTACTGTGCAAATCGATATTTACTACTTCGTAAAAGGTATTTTTTGCCATGGCTAGCTGATCACCGACAACCACATGAGTCGTTACCTTTGTCACGATCACTGAGCAGTCCTGAATTCTCTTTTTCCTCTACACACGATACCTCTCAGCATCTTCTTACTGTCATGGACGCTTCCAACAGTCCTAAGCTACGTCGAATCCACTCCCTCGAGTTTCATAACTATCAAGAAAGCACACCCAACTCTATCGAGGATGACCTTGGCATTGAGGCTCCTGCAGCCGCACAAATGGTCGAATTCTTCGACATCAACAAGCTCTTGAGCGACGTCAGTACCCCTTTTTCGAGCGCACCAAGGCCTCAGGTTTTAGACGAAGGAAAACACGAGGGCTTTGTCCAAACTGAGTACCATTATCTGCCAGACTTAACCAGTGTTGCGCTGACAAAGACGGCGTCTGGAGGAGATATCTCCGAGGCGTCCGATGACTCTTTCAGAGAGGTGACAGATTGTGCTCGCTGTCAACATATCGGCGGCTACGAAGAACGACACACATCGAAAGACTCGCAAAGATGAGATCATTGAGCTGCGAGAGGCTGTCGAGGTGCTGACAGAACAACTGGATTCTCTGAAGGCAACACCATGCCAAGCAACACAGACACACAACGGGCCTGGATTGCACTTGAACTCTCAACCAAATCAGTCGTTGTGGAAATACGCTGCAATCCGACAGCTCGGAAGACGGCGTAAAGCTGAAGAAGACAACGCGACACTCCGAGAAATGCTCGAAATGCAGGTGCAAGAAGCAAAGTGCTTGCAGCGCATTTTGAAACGACGGACCAAAATCCAGGTAGGACTTGCTGTTCTATACATTGTACAATGCGATGAGCTGACAGCGTGATGTTTTGTAGATGATGAAGGATATGCTAGGGATGAAGCGCCGTAAGATTGCTCGCTCTGCATTGACCCCGAGTGACAATGCAGAGATTTTCATGAAGATGTTACGTGAGGCGGATGAAATCTACTCACGCGTGGACACCCACTTTGCTGAGAAGGGAGTCACAGCTCTCCCCTGTCCAGGGTTGAAGCGCAGGACCAACCGCAGTGCGATGAACGACGTCGTTTTGGAGATGACAACAAGAAATCTACTGCCTTTTAGTCTTCAGAAAACAGCGAAGACAGCTCGTGTGGTCCTTAACAACCTGGGAACAAGTGGACTGAAACGAATCAAGGATGTCGGTATCCAGATCACCTTCCACGCCCAGGAATCGGAAGAATCTCGTGATACACTAGTCATGAGTTATTTCTCTGCGACGCCTGGCCACCCTCTTATTAGTGGAGCTCAAGTGCGGAAGGTGATGCGTATGTCTGTCGAAGAAGACTGTGCAGTGTTTATTTGGAAGATGATGGCAGAGCCCAAGCTCCGAGGTAGCAACGCTTCGATCGGCTACCAGCTTCAGTCGACATTACAAGTCGTCATGCATTCTGGAGAAACGCCGACTCTCAGTGGAGATGACTCAACGCAGCTCTTGATCCACTTCAGTGCATCAAGATACGAGACAGGTGACCCTATCAGTGCTGAAGCACGACAACCAGAGCATATGGACAGTGGCATTTCCTTATGGGAGAAGCTAGTAGAGCATATTCCGTATGAGATTGAGAGCGAGCTGATCAGTGGCCTGTGTGTTAATGTTTGATGTGAAGGTAGCAGCGTATATATATAAAGTAAACAAGATCATTAATTTTATTTTTCTTGGAACTTAATCGACTTGAGCAAGAGTCTGTATCAAAAAGCAACTCACTTTGTACAAATTGTGATTAAACTAAAAAAAATAGCCTGACACTCTACGATGAAGAAAACACGTCACAGTCAACGAGCAAAGTGCTCCAGCTTACTGGTGGTGTCAGTAACAGAAGTGACAATAAACAGTATAGCGAGATGTTGGATACCTTAACTGCCCGATTTTCACCTTGTATGATGTACAGTATAACACACGTGCTCAATAAGACACAAGCAGGGTTTGTATTTGTATAACTCACTTACTGGTATGTATAATAATATGCGGAGTAGACGGGTGACAGCCACCTTCTCGTGGCTATGAACCAGTCTCATACGACGCTTGATCATCTCAGGTCAACAATATAAATTAAAGTCAACGAGTCATTCTGAGCACTAAACACTTTAGTTCTTGTAACGGGGTACGTAGCCCTAAGTGTACCCTGGTTACATGAAGTGTGACACTTCACACTTCAAGTGTATGACACGTCATTCTCCGGGATATTTGGTACAAGGTACCAAGGTCGCTCAAAGCCAACCATTGGTCAAACGACATTGTATTTCTATAGGTAACTTATAGTTTGTATTAAACCCAAACTTAACCTACCTATAAATATACTCAGTTTACAATTTAACGTTACCTTATTTAGGTCACTTCGCTCTCTTTAACCCCTTAGTTCCTTTATGTTGGATCTTCCAACATAAGGGGTGTATACCCTAATTCACTTCTGTTGCACCTTTTTTTTATGTTGGAGGTCCAACATAAGCAAATCTTATACCTGAATTTTGTATGTGGCAACGGTCCATATCCCCCCTTTCCCTGCTATAGTGAAATGAAGTCATTGATATGAGTGTAAAACGGTCACATGCACAGGCTTAGGTTTAGTTTGGTGAATGA